CAAGCTTTCTGCATTGATTAACTTTTAAATTTCTAATTGATACATTTTATCAATATTAATCATTTAAGTTGCTTCTTAGTGCAAGGATTGTTTGGCAAAGGAGAACTAAAATACTGATAGAAATGAATCCGTACAGAAGTATGCTTTTTGTCATGCACCTTTCTGTGTGCCAAAAGAGATACCTTGACTTTAAACAGAAAACCACAAACACGGTGAAAAAATACATATTTAGAAGTACATAAATTAACCTTCAAAACCAAATACATTTTAATGGGTTTTTCATATTGAGAACAGTTAGTTTCTTGAGATTGTAGTGTTTAAGATGGCTTCATATAATATACAGTATGAAATGAGATAAAGACAGCAAAGGAAGAAAATCACTGTAGGACCGGGGTATTCAAATACTGCTATTTTTCTTTTCTTTATTTTCAGACCTTTGGTTTTTACTTCATAAACAATTAAAAAACACACAAGTATCACATACTGTATGTGTACAATGAAACAGAACACAAAAAGCTAAGAAATATTTTAAAAATATTTTTAACATAAAATTAATTGTAGTTTGGTTTTAGGTTGCATGTATGCTGTTGCATAAAACCCATGTTAAAGTATTACCTAAAATTAAATAAAGACATTTTAAGGTGGGGATGTAAAATTGAAATCAAAGTTTATCTGTAGCATCCCCAGCAGCTCAACTGTTCATAAACACTTCTTTAAAGACATTTAAACTACAAAGTTATCATGTAAAACTCCAAGAGAAACACTCCAGTTCAATTATACGAAATATCTTAAGGATAAAAATCAGCTTCAAAATAAAATTACAATAAACAGAATTAGTTCAAGTAGGTAGCTGTGTCTGCATGTGTAGGCTGCAAAGAGACAAGTAAAGGTTTATTCCATGCTGAAAAGGTTAGCTCCAGTTGCAGAATTAAACTAATTATTTAGGTTACCTGTGGAAAGATAAGACTGCAAATTTAAATATGTTTAGAAAACACATTTATCAGGGAGGATTCTATTTTAAATATCTTAAGTGTAACAATCAGTTTAACCGACCTCTGGAACCAGGGATAAAACAAAGCATAAATGATAGGATTGATGGCAGAATTAATATATAAAAACCAACTTAGAACACTAAGTACTAAAGAGGACCGGTCCACATTTTTAAGAGCGAGACTGCATATGTAATACGGCACCAAACAGAGAAGAAATACAATCACTAATATTCCTAATGTTTTTGCAGCTTTCCATTCAGATTTTGTGGAAATTTTATTATTGTCTCCATCTGCTGATTGCATTTGCTCTGTAACAGTGCTGATTGCTTGTGCATGCTTTCGAGCAACTATGAAAATCTTGAAATATAATGTTATCATTATAGAAGAAGGCAAAATCAATGTACATAATACATCAATTATTACCCAGCTTTTAGTTATAAAAAGCACACAGTCTCCAAGACAAATATTTAGCTTTTCAGTACCACCCATATTTCCATTGAAATACATGAATACAAAATTATATAGTATTGATATCAGCCAAATAAGCAATATGACAGCAGCTGTAACATTAACTGTGATTTTAGTAGAATAAAGTAATGGGTAATAAACAACTAAATAGCGGTCAATAGCTATGTATGCCACATTACCAATTGAAACAGAGGTGAAGATGTAAAACAAGATTTTATAAATTATGCAAACTGTTTCTCCAAAATACCAACAGGTCTCTATTAATAAAATTAAGCTGAAAGGCATCACAGCTGCTCCTATTAGAAAATCTGCCACAGCCAGGGAGAGCATTAGGAAGTTGGTTGGTGTGTGGAGCTGCTTGAAGTGAGAGATAGAGATGATCACCACCAGGTTTCCACACACTGTCAGCATCACCACTGCCACTGCAGAAATATA